TGAACTCGTTGGAGCTCAAAAATGTTAAGAGTTCCGGAGTGCGAGCCAAAACAAGCTCATGACTATCTGGAACCATGCCAAGGAACTCATCAACACAATGAGGAACTTGCCATTCCGGTCCGGAGATTGTGACATCATCACTAGCTTGCTCGGTACTTGGGAAAAGAACTTTACAGTTCCATTTCTTTTCCAAGTCTTCGATTTGGTCAAGACGAGTCAGAAGTTCTCGGTGATACAATCGGTCAACATTGACAGTCTGAGAAGTGAATTCTGAATCAACTCGATCGACCATATCGAGAATTTCGGCCTTCACAAGCTCTAGGTTTTGAGCATTACGAGCTGGAGTTCGGCAGATGACATTATCGGCCTTGATATCATCATCCTCACGATTGGGTCCACCACGATCCATGACATTGGAGAACTTAACAAAGACCGAATGCTTCTTCATGATTCTTTGGATGTGTTGACCACCAATGCCGATAATGCGCTTATGGTATTGATCAGGAACATGGAAAGATATTTGGGCTGGCATCTCTTGCTCGACGAGGTTAAGACCAGTAACCATCTGATCGTAGTTGTTTCCGCAAACATCAATGTTGAAGTTATACTCATTAAATCCGTCAAATATGATTTGAACATTGCCTAAACGAAGTAATTAGTAAGTCAAATGTAACAAAGCTTCGCAAACCTTACTTTGGCCCATGATCTTGTTGATCTTTCCATTCTTCTTGCCACTAACAAACTCCTTGTGCTCATTTGCTAGCTCCAGCTTCACTCGAATTTGATAGGCGAATCCTCGCTTGTTCAACGGGATGTTGCTAATGATAGTCAACGCATCTTTGACAGCTTCGTCGGAACCAGTTATTGTCCATTGTAGCTTATCGTATGTCACATCTGCTGAAGAATATGAACAGATATCTACCAACATTGCTCTTAACTGAGGTGGAGCTGGTTGTAAAGGTGGCTGATTTGGTGGCTGTTGGATCCACCACGACGCGCTGTAGAATTGTACTCCCTGCAAGTTTTGTCAGCCATAGCGAGGGACAATGAAGTTGTGTTACTTACCATCAGCATGAGCTCCCGGACTGTTCGTTCCACGTGGAGACCTTCAATTCCTTGGATTCTGATCATGCTACGTTGAGAAGCAAGAGCTGGGAACTGGATAAATGTTCCGTTTGTCTCCATAATTTTACGAACCTTGTCCATCCTAGTCAAGAGAATGCTGTCGATCTTAGCGGCAGTCACATGGGCGTCTTTCATGAATAGCCTCGTCATTCTAACAAGCTCGTGGATTCTGCTTTTGGCTGCGGCAATGTTTTCTGCTCTGTCGCCAGTAATGAAAATCTCCTCGGGGTTTCGTCGCTGTGCGCCCTCTGGACAATACTTGTAAACCTGTGAGAAAGGAGGTGGGAAATAGATAGCCGTGTTAGTAGAGGATTCGATCATCTTGATGTTCTTTCGGGATCGTCCACATATGACAGTGTGAAGGGAAAGCTCGAGAGATGCTACATCAGCTACACGACCAAGCTAAACCAAAAATGTCAGTATACAGTATCACCTTGATTCATACAAATAAACGTACTAGTCTGTCAATGTAGACCAATATTCTAGTCTTTCCGTGTTCAGCACTCTCCATATCTCCATAGACTGCAATTCTCCAGCGTTGATCCCTTCCTGCCTCACCATTGCTACTGAGTCCATCGGCTAACGAAGGAAATTTTGGACCCAATAAGAATATATCAACACCGCAGAACGCGGCAACTTTGTCCAAATGTTCAACGACAGATTGTCTCAAGCCTGAGATCGTGGGATCAATAATCAAGTCTCCGTCAACATCTATGACTGCACAACGCTACATTAACGTTAGTACGTTGGAATCGCAGGGGACAACAGTATGAATCATACCAAGGCGATAGGGGTATCATTTAAGATCGTTTCTCTGCTCTTGTGTACCAATTCCGGGCTTCCCGAGAGAGTAACGGTTGTAACCTGTGCTGGGGAGGCAGTGGGACGTTTAGGCGTGGTGACGGCGACGTCAGCCAAGATAGGCAAAGGTCCATTGGTAATAGCTGCGCAAAGTTTCGAGAGAATTTCGATATTTGAGGTGTGTACCGGCAACTTCCATACAGGAATGTCATCAGGCGCGTCTTTGGGATGTGTCCATCTCAGAACAGCATTGGCCGTGGCGTAAAGAATATCCTCAGTATTTGGACCGGCGAGATCGGAAGCGAAGGGGATATTGAATGAATAGTGGATAGTAGAGTCCGCAGGGGTTGGTGCCAGCGCTGGTGAAGGAGTCGGTTTTGTGTGAGGCGGCATTGAGGACATGCCATTCATTTGATTTTGTCGCGACATGCCAAATCCTGGACCTGACCAGTGCCTCATATCGCGACCGAGGTTTGATAATTTATTCATTCTTATTGTGTGTTTCGTTGTTGACAAACTCGACCACACAAATTTGGGTAGAGTTGTGGAGGGTCGAAGATGGTCAAAGGGAAGTAGACCAAATAAGATATTTGGGGTACCAGAGATAATGTAATAAGTTGAAAGACTGGGCTCCTGCTGCTTTTGATCAGCAAGTAAGTTGGATGAATTGAGCCAGGCCGGTTCGGTAATGAGAAGCGAAGAGTTTGGGGCTGATGAGTGGTCTGTGTTGTGTGATGATTGAAATCGAAGTGGGCAATCGAAGAAGAGGAATGTTAAAGCAGCCAGAGACAAAGCAAAAGTAAAGTAGAGTAAAGCAAAGCAAAGCAAAGCAAATGGGTTTGAGAGATCGAGTAGGATGTACGGAGTAGATTGGATGTACCTGGTAGTAAAGATTGAAAGTTTGGTATAGTAGTGAAATGAAGAGATGGGAGAAGAGATGGGAGAAGAGCTAAAGGAAAGGGGGAAGTGGAAAGAAAACGAGGTGACTATAGTGAAGTGAGGGGAACTGAATTGGAGTGAATTAAGGTATAGTTGAGTGAATTAAATGGAGCATGATGTATAAAGTACCGATTATTGACAATTATGTCGCCGTCTCATCAATTCTGGAATCGTTGGGTACATATATAAGGCAGGGTACTAGTAAAGAGGGTATAAGGAAATGAAATAGTTACACACCACCAAAGGAACAGATACGCACAATAATCGTATCTTATCTCGATGAATTGTATCTTACAATACAGCCAGGTAAGTACAACGTAGGAGAGATGTAGAGGAGGCACAAAAGACAATGTTAGACTTATTTGATATGTAGTATGAGGGGTATCAATATTGGTGAAGAAGGAGATGGAGGAGGAGGAGGAGAAGAACAAGAGGAGGAAGAGGAGGAGTGAGAAAAGGCTCGAGGATTGAATGTTAGCCTCTGGTTGGTGGTCAAGTTTATGGTGTGTGTGGAGAGAATGTTCCAAGAGCTATGGTTCGACGATAATGGAGGTGCTTCCAAGAGGTGATGGTGTCCTATAGTCAGTCTACAGAGAAAATATAAGGTTAAAGCTATTTACAAGTCCCTCTTTACACTTTCGTACTATTCCAATATCGTGCAATCCAGCCAACAGCGATGATAGTTAGAAAGCTATCGTTGTCATCCAATTCGCCCTTCAATTGGTGAAGTCGCAATGCAGATGATATCGTATGAAGCGAGGTAAGCAAGGGCAACGAGTGAGCTTGAGCTCTCGTTCGTGTGTTCGAGGGTTGACCTTTTCTGTTAATGTACCGGCAAGTACGTTTGACACAACGATGCATGCACAAAGGATACAAAGAAAGATGCGGGCAATCCACTCAAGTCTTATACTTTGATTTGATTCGACTTCGGTCCATGGATAAGGGAAAGTTTGAAAACTGTTGTGCGAGATCCCAGCAGTGAAGCCAAATTCCACCTCAATTGTATCGCAAATTGATAAATGAATGCCTGAGCGTGAATAGTGAGAAAGCTTGAAGTTTCTTGATCTGATTGGATTGGAGAAGAATGGAATTTTTGAAGAAACAGGAAGCCAAGACCCAGGATAGCTGAATGAGCAACAAGGCAAGAGAGAGAATTCCAATACTATACTATATTACCTGGGTGTTGATTAGACTGGACGAGTTGGAGTCAATGACGAACAGTAGTGGTAGGATCGACAGCCGTAGACCACTCGCGAGAACTTGCTCTATAGAATGGATGGATGGAATGGATGGATGGATGGATGGATGGGAATGTTGTTGCATCTACCTAGTAGATACCTAGGTAGGAGTACTCTGTAGGTAGGTTAAGGTGGTGAGGTAGGTATAAGGAAACCCAGTTATTGTACGGTATTATTTGTAGTTGTTTGGTAATCTTACATGTAGGTGATTACTAGGTACATACAGAAAGATTCCTTGCTTTTAGAGTCTTCCTCAGAAACAAACCAGTGATGCTGTATGTATATACAGAGTATGTAGGCAATAATAAACGAGCCTTTTTAGTATCATTCTTCATTGCTTCTTATTGTATCACGAGGTGCATCGATAGATTTAATCAATACTATCGTCACTTCATATAGTTACACTGTTACAACGACAATCAAAACAACTTGACATCTGCAACTGGGTACAATCAATCAGTCAATGAAAGTGACAGACCTTCCACGAATTTCCCACGCCATTGCCGCTCTAACAACCATCACTCCATCATTACCTATCTACGCACTTCATGACATGGAACTTATGACACCAAACTGGAGGATACTCTTTACAATCATTCAAGTACCATATTATATCATAACACAAATAGTGAAGCATATTAACAAAAGAGGATATAATCAACATAATTTCAACATCCTTCCTTTCCTCCCTCCCCATCCATCACAACCACAAAACCCTCTCTACCCCCTTCCCCGTTCCCCACAAAACCCAAATCCGTTTCCATTCCATCTTTCCATCTTTCCAAGTTTCGAGTAAAAACCCCTCCAATCCGCCATCCCCAAACCTCCAACGAGAAGGAAAAAACAAAAACAAATGGAACAAACACACACACACACGAACACAATTATCAAGATCATCTATCCTACATCCCTATCACAGTAATGATCATCCATTTTGTTCTGTTGGTCCACTAGGTACTTATTAGCACCCAACTACCGACTAATAAATAAATCTGGACCCAGCTTTTGCTTCGCCTCAAATATCTCATGATTCTCACAACAATGACTTCAGTCACCTAATCTAGTACACACCGCTTACTAATCCCTTCCTCCTCCTCTTCCTCCTCTTCCTCCTCCTCCTCCTCTTTCATCATCATCATCTTCTTCTTCTTCTTCTTCTTCTTCTTCTTCTCCTTCTTCTCCTTCTTCTCCTTCCTTTTCCCCCAAAAGTAAATTGAATCAGTCATTCTTATCCATCTATCCACAATCCACAATCTACATAAAATCCCCACCGTACTCCATAAAACCCTCAGCAAAATATTCCATCAAAACTCCCATTTGAAACACTCCTTAGTATTCTTATTTCTGTCCAACGGTTCCAGCGTGTGTGTGCCCCATGAACAAAAACGCCCAAAAACGCCCAAAAACGGAAATACCTACAGAACAACTTGCCTGCTACTCAGTGTCCAAACTCAATGTTCGGTCTAGACCCCGGACTTTGCCTTGTTAGTGGTTTATGCTTGCTCGTGCTTGGTTCAAGACTTAAAGTATGCTGTGTTAGTCGACGGTCGTTTGCAAGGTTCTTCGTTGAGTGATGTTTGCTCTGGTCTGGTTTGATTATTAAAATAGCTCCCCGGTGTTGCATTCATTCAATCATGAAAATCTTCACGCTATCCACAGATTGATGGCGTCTAGTGTTACAATTTTGGGCATTTTGATAGTTGTACAATAACATATTTTTAATTACCTGCTTCTGAACGCGCTGATGATTTACAAAGCCAGATATCCAATCCAAGGCTGCTGTTTAAAAAACCACACAAAATTCCTCCACGCCCATTACGCCACATTACCCCTTCATGCTTCTCCACCCACACACCTAGGTTGCAGTATAATACCAGCCACAATCGAATCGGAACAGACTGCCGGTTGGATACCGCTACATTTAGTCTTGGCTTCCATGGATTGTTACAAATTTCAGCGGTACACTTTCCTAGGTACATCATCTGCATAAATGAACACCGAGCCTTCGCGTTCCCGAGGCCTCTCTAGAATAGCCGATCTTTGATTTTCCACCTCATAATACCTCTCGCCTTCTGCCACTGTAGGCTGATGACTGCGAGGAATTATTTCCGTGGGACGAACACTAAATTCCCGACGAGGAGGTGCCATAACCTCGCGACGAACTTCAGGGTGAACGCTTGAAGCATACTCCCTAGGAGCCTCTGGTCGGACACTTGAAAGTCTTCCCACATATTCTCTAGGGACTTCATATCTAATGGTTTCTGGTCGCACGCTTTGTGGTCGAGACAAATACTCACGAGGAGCTTCATCATAATGACTGGCTTGACGACGCTCAGGTTGAGCTCTAACTCTAACATATTCTTCGCCTGGTGGTCCCATTGGAGTTGGGCGAACTGAATATTCCCGTTCACGATATGAGCGATATTCGGGTTGGGCGTACTCTGGTTGTGTAATGACACGTCGTGGGGCAGTAACAATGGTAGAGGCTCTTCTGTATAACACTCCATCCTCTTCGAATGTTTCTACTGGTGGGCGAGTAGACATTGTTCTAACAGGGGCACGCTCATAATACAGCTCTCCGTCGTCATGCCTTCTGGCAATTGGAGCAACCGAATGACGCATTGAAGGTGCGGGAGTGGGATCGATGTACTCACGGCCATATGCATCAACAATGATCCTAACAGGTTGACGCGGAGGTCCCATTGGAATTGGTGATCTTCTTTCTCTCACAATCGGCGATCGAGACCTTTCGCGATCAGCATCTGGGCGGACATTCATTCTGGACAATACAGGTCGTTCTCTTTCGGCGTAATATCTAGGTTCCTCGATAAGTTGTCGGTCCACGATGGCGTGAGAGCTTTCTCTAATTGGCCGAGAGTATGGTAAAGCATAAACTGGAGACGCTGGTCTTCTTGTATACTGTCCTCCGCTATCAACTCTTTGATACTCGACTTCATCGCGCTCCACGCGTTGATATATTGGTTCTGGTCGTCGAATCTCTGCATATCGATCTGGGTAGCCTCCCTCATAACGCACGGGAGCTCGAACTTCTTCATATCTTTTAGGGGCGGCTTCCGGTATCACCTCAACTGGCTCATATCTAGGCTCATCATAGTTAAGTTCTGACGCGTATTGATCTGACTGTCGCTGTCTCTTTGGTGGTCGTGGTAGAGGTACAGCAGCAAATGGAGATGGTGAACGGGGTTCTGCCTTGATGTATGGAGAATCCGGTGTATCGTTTTGGCCACTATCATTAGCCTTACGCTTCTTCTTCTTTCCTTTCTTCTTCTCTGAAATCTTTGGTCCATTCGGGGAACTTTCTGCACTGGATAGACCTGAAGCCGCATTTCGGAGTGCAGCAACCTGAGGTTGTTGTGCCTCATTAACGGGAAGGGCATCTCGTAGGATAGGGGGGTCTCTTGCAGTAGCCAATGGTGAGACACGAGCAGGTTGTGGTGCTAGGGGAGATAGATTATGGGCTCGGGTGTTAAGTGGTTGCTGCAAATCCATTTCAGATGCCTTTGCTGGGGCCACTCTATCACCCATCTGCTGAGAACCTGTGCTTTCAGAACCTGTACTCGTACTGTCTTGAGAAAGATCAACAACGCCCGATACTCTACGTGGTACAGCCTTGGGATATGGTACTTCTTGGACAACCTTTCCTCGAAAATCATTTGGAGACTGTTGTTCAGCGGGATGATTGTTCTGGATTCCTAGTGGGCGATACTGTGATTGTGAATGTGTCTGAGATTCTAGATGATTATCTTGGGATAGTAAACTACCAGTCATAACCACATCATTATCTTCAACATTGGTTGTAGGATCAGTTTGAGCTGCCGATTCTTCAATCGAAACCTCACCGCGTACTTGCCCGCTGAGGGTTGGCTTGTGGCTATGCGATGAATTGGAAGGCTCAGGGGTATCATGCTGACTAGAATAGAAAGAATTTTCATCAAACGAATCACTTCCAGCACCCACAGAAGGTTCAACTTCTGGAGCTGTGGCGGGATGAACTATAGCAAGAGCTTTTTGCAAAACTTCGGTAAGATCAAAATTGGGGAGGGATTCAGATGTCTGAAGCAAGGCTTTTTGGGCCAAACGATGTTGGTCCATTTGTTCCCTGAGAGCTCTTTCCAATCTCTGCCTTTGCAATTGTATCTCCGCCTTTATAAGATCATCAGATTTTTCCAACAGAATTGGATTAATCTCTGAAGTTTTCACAGATTTATTAGAAATCGTAGATACTGACTGTTTCGCAATACGGCTGTTTGCCGCGGCAGCACGATAATTGACTGGTGAGTGACTATTCGAGGACGATGCCGAGTCGATGGCTGCTTGCGCATTTGCGCGTATTGCTGATGTGTTAGGTGATGATGTATTACGAGCTAGACTGCTCTGCTTTCCCACTCCTACAATATGAGAAGGGACTTTGACGCGAGGATGAGTTCCTGCAAGAACAGCATCTCGAAATGAAATAATCTTTTCGTACTCCCGAATTTCACGAATATTCTCTGTTGTCAGTGTTACACCATTTGTGCCATTGGTCGGCACAAAAGCAACAGCCCCTTGGGCCATATTTGAAAATAGTGAGCAATAAGATTAATCAACAGTACGAGAAATTGACTTATTGCTTATGCAAGTATTGAGTCTAATAAATGAATTGATGATTGACTATATATGCCAAAGTTGTGTTGTTTGAATGATTATTCGTGTCGATTTTTAAAGGAACAAGGTTGAATGTTAATAAGAAGGTCGAGAAATTATGTCGGCAAGAAAATTAATGGGCAGGTGCAGACTTGTATGACTAAGCGAGGACTTTACCATGGAATTGATAATTACAGCATCCGTACTAAATTGAATATCCGATCGGCCGGCATCGATGTTCCCCCGAATGACTCTTTAGATACATACTATAACCCGAACACTCTCCACATTCTCTTAGTTTTTGTTAATCAATGTATAGCATCTTCAAATGTGCTAGAACTCGCACTTTCCTTTCAGATCCCACAATCACCATCACTAGAACAATTAGATCATCATACTACTTCCTCTATACCTACCCCTATCAACCCTTATTTCACTACCAACAGAATGGGGGATTCACGACCGGTCTTCTTCTTTGATATTGATAATTGTGTAAGCTAATACCTCTAGTTGATACGGTTTCATGATTACTAATCTTTTTGTAGCTATATTCTAAGAGTACGAGCCTCTTTCTTGCCACATCCACACATAATCTTCCAATGCATTGACTGACGCAATACACTCCGAAGGTAAAAAGGTTCATGACCACATGACCGATTTGATCGATGCCTATTTCATGAAACATCTTGAGCTCAGTCGAGAAGATGCCTATAAGCTCCATCAAGAATACTACCAAACCTATGGTCTCGCCATCGAAGGTTTAGTACGCCACCACAAGATTGATGCTCTGGAATACAATCGTCAAGTAGATGATGCCGTCCCATTGGAAAGCATTCTTTCAGTGGACCCAAAGCTCCGCAAGCTACTCGAGGACATTGATAGGTCCAAAGTCAAGCTCTGGCTATTCACCAATGCTTATGTTACCCATGGAAAACGTGTTGTCCGTCTACTCGGAGTAGAAGATTTGTTTGAGGGTATGACATACTGTGATTACGCTCAAGAAAAGATGATTTGCAAACCTTACAAAGAATCATTTGAAAAGGCCATGAGCGAAGCTGGAGTAAAGGAGTTCAAAGATTGTTATTTTGTCGGTAGGTTCTTTCTGAGCCAGATTTCATCTTATTGCTACTCACACATTTCAGATGACTCGCTTATAAACTGCGAGGCAGCTTACAAACTTGGTTGGACAGCAGCTCACTTGGTTGAGGAAGGTGTGAAATCACCCGCGAAGCCAGTAGCAAATTTCCAAATCAGCACCTTGGAAGAACTGAGAACTGTCTACCCGCAGTTCTTCACCACTACATAAAGCACTGATGATGTGACAAGAAGTATTCAACATTCCTAGGGAAGTAGTTCTCATTAATAAAGTGCACAACCAGAGAGAGTGCAACGTTTGTTCTTCTGTAGAATAGACTAGATCAATACATAATACGTGTTCCTTCTTGAGCTTCTTGGGGACTATCTCAATCATCCTCATTGAAAAATCTTATAACTCAGTATTTCTATCATCTAAAAAGCACATTGATTTCCATCAGCTAGGGTTGCAGTGGCCACAGTCCTACCATGTCATAACGTTGTGTGTTTATACGAACGTAAGGAGCTGAGAACAGTCAACTGTCTTGGTTTGCGACACATCGCTCGACCACAGACTTTTTTTATCCTCAAAACCTCATTCTCTGACCACTTCCATATTCCTAAACGCCTTGCACTCACCCAAACGCCGAATTTTACAGGTATAAATTTATTCGAGAAAAGGGCGCGATAACGGTCGATTCACGGTCTCTTCACACTTCTTATAACTCCCTCCAATCTAGCCAGAACGGCTTCTTTTTCCTTCAAAGCCTCTTTCCTCCTCTCTTCTTCTTCTTTCAGTTCTTGCTCCAATCTTAAAATCGTCTGGTGCTGCTTGGTCTCGCTGTCTTCTAGCCCCGGTAGTGCTGATATAAGTACCTCGATTTGTTGCTCCTTGATGATAAGATCCCGTGCTAATTCTAGCTGGCCTTCTTTAAATTTGTCCGCAGGTAATGGCTCTACTATAGTAAAAGGATGAGTCAAAATTGGCATATGAAAGGGGCTGGCAATCTCACAGCCGTCTTCATTTGGCAATGCTTCGCCGGATTCGTCCTTCTTGGCATCTTTTCGGACCATGTCGGTTGGGCTGAGAGTTTGGTAGTCATGGTGCTTGTTAACCCATACCAGCGATGCGACGAATTGAAGAGCGAGCTAAGTAATGTCAGTGGTTGGATGTGTATATTTTTTGATTATGAACTAGACCTCATCAATCGCTTCTTGAAGTTGTGTCAATCGATCAGCCATGACTTGTTGCCAGAGGAAAGGAGATTAGTGTTGTAGGATCTCCAAACAGAAGCTCCAGAGCGTACACGAATTGATGTCAGCCTTGCAGACAATCTCATGCGGGGAGGTGTCCATAACGGGTTTAGCCGATTAGAGGTCATCGGCCGTAGCCTTACATAATTTCCGGTTTCCGAGCATCGATATCAGAGAAGGTAAAAAAAATATGTACAAAACATTCTCATACTACATATTTATTCCTGCCGCCCGTCTTCTTTTCCGAAAGAGTGTATGCAGGTACCCAATAACAGCCCGCTTTTACATCCGTTCTGCATTACTTAGGACGAACTACGCTGTGGAGGATTATGCTAGTCACATGATACTAGCAAACTCAGCCAAATCTCCATGTTTTTAGCACGTTCTCATCTGCGTTTCTTGCGATGGAGCAAGCAATCATCACGCAGATGTTTTGCAAACAGTGCAACAGCAACTACATCCAAAACTAGTGTCGAAGTAGATGATATAGCGTACCCTAACTTACAGAATGCAGAACATCATGATCTGGCCAGTTTTCTAGAATATGCATCACGCAACAACATGGACACAGGCAGTACTACATATGTAGGGACTCATTATGAATATACGGTTAAGCAAGCATTGGAGCGATTGGGAATGTCTCTCAGGCAAGTTGGTGGAAGATCAGACTGCGGCATTGATCTTCTTGGAACTTGGTCATTACCTACAGCTCCACAACCATTAAAAGTCCTCATACAATGCAAAGCATTTGCGTCTAAAATGAAACCAGCTCAAGCTCGTGAACTAGAAGGGACCTTCGTAGGTGCTCCGCAAGGATGGAGATCATCTAGTGTAATGGCATTTTTGGTTTCGCAGCAAGCAGCAACCAAAGGTGTAAGAGAAGCTCTAGGCAGGAGTCAATGGCCGATGGGTTATGTACTGTGCGGAGCGGATGGAAAGGTTATGCAGATGTTGTGGAACCGAAAGGCAGCTGATGAAGGACTGGGGGGCTTAGAAGTTGAGATGCAGTATGCTGGTGGTGATCGGAATGAAAAGGAAGTCATTTTGACACACAAGGGAACGGCTATCAAAAATTGATACATTGTTTGATGCGACCAAAGTTGAGCGCGCTATTCGGTAGTAAGACATAAGTCGGATCGTTTGCTCTTCAGTTCCCAAAGAGGAACAATTGCTTCAGCAAATAGCTTGTCGTCTTTGTCCCACAGTCGACAAAATCTGGATTGTGAATACATTTGCGGAGAGGTCCCATGTATCCACTTCTCTTCTTCTTTACAAAATTCAGCCTGCCTTGCGAACGATCATTGATCAGCTATTACAACTGATATCACCTACGAGGATTTATTCTTGGCCGCTGCGAGACACGTTCTAAGCGATTACGATGTGTTATCAAGTCATCCGATTATTTGAGTGCACTCACCAAAGCCCCTCCATAGATATACCATGCAAGCAGCCATCGGAAAACTGTGGTGGTATCTTTCTGAGACAGGAGATTGAAGATACGAAAGGACTATGTGAGGTAAATGTTGCTTATTGGGTTCCATAGCTAGTCATGATCTAACACGTTGTTAGAGATGTCAGGAAGCTACGGAGATCAGAGGATCTAGGACAGAGCCGGAAGATGAGGGTTATTGGTCATGACTCTTGTCCGAAGTGTGGAAAAAGGAACGCTCGATGTGCTCATGATGACGAATGACCTTGAAGGATTAGAAACATGGATTATCCTGAAATAGTCCAACTCTCTCAAGAGCAAACACTACATCACACTCCTCAAAATAACATCGCGTTTTGATCTTGAAGATTCTACTTGGTTCTCGTGACACATAATTTTTTTACTTGAGTTCCTTTGTGTACATAACACTTCATTTAATATCATAAGGTGTTTTCATCCAGCCTGAGCCTTCTCATTGGTAGACGACAGCAAAAGATCTTGACAATAGTAGAGCGAGATATTTATGTCACCAGCTTCAAGGTACAATCTTGGAATGCACCGCAACAATGAATGCTTCTCCAACTCTGTCCATGGATTATCAAGAGCCCTTTCTGCAGTAGACTGGATCTTATCTAAAAGTTGTTATCCGTAGGCATCAATGCCTACGCGGAGGTCGCGCTGTTGGTTTTAGTCCATCACGCTGGTAGTATAAGTCAATCCTAGAAGCCATGAAAAACTCTTTTCCGAGTTTTGATACTGCTCGGCCTGGGGAGGCCTTGTTCACCTATGCAAGATCCCGGCACAGATCCTATAGGGCAAATTTAGTTTCAAGTGAAGTTGCTAGTTTAGACAGTTTATCTTGTAGATGAAGAGCCTGGACACAATGTGGTCGAGCAGCTTCGAGCATTCAGATTCAGTATTTATATGTAGAGATGTTAGAAAGGGACTTGAATTGATTTGTTTCGTTTTTGCTAGAGAAGCTAATCATTACGTGATCTCCCATTGGCTGGTGTAATTTCAGAGGTATCAGACATCAGGAGATTGGGGAACCGTTTCTTGATAAAGTGCTGGAGGTATTAAGGGGATGATAAAGGCTCAATATACGTATGACCAAAGAAGAACTTCGTTATTGGGATCTTTCTGTGAGAATAATGTACCTCAGCAACTTACAGAATGTTCCAGAGATGAAGACGAAATAGGAAGTGTGGCAGTAGTATGACTTCAACATCCAAACGACTTGGAGGGAGTGAGGCATGCTTACTATAGGGAGAAAGGACCAGGACTTGTCGAAAGTCGGCTAGACCTTTAGAGACTGTGAATCATCAAGAGGTGAATCAACGTGTCAAAAAAAGCGTGGACCTATCTTCCTGCTAGGATGCTAAGTAATCCTTGGAAGTGCTTAAATACTCGTCGTATAGTCCTACTCTTTGAATTCCAAAAGTGTGACAAGTAAGATGGGAATACTACAAAAGTTCGTGTCTTGTTTCTCTCTTGCTCATTGGCCGTAGTTCAAATTTCAAGCTCCTGGAAAAAGTTGTAAACGGTTAGCTCTCGCTATCAATTCTTGGAAGACTATGATACTTTTCTCTTCGAATGGTTGTTCGTCTGCATTTATGAACGAGCGGCAATAAATACGCCAGACCAGCAGTTGACAACAATGAAGTTCAATTTCTTGAGCCTCTGTACTTCTCTTCGCTTCTTGAAAATATAGGCGGAAACCGGATAGAAGAATTCTGTAAATGAATCAACTCAACCACTAATCCCTTCTTTTCTTTTTGCAGTGATCTCCAAGAGTGAACTACTTCTCGGTATTGACTGCAAAGGAAAGAACTCACTCCTTTTTATAGATCTTTCTTCTTTATCTCATATTACATCCAATCCATCATTCTCACTCTACAGTGAGTACCCGCCTCCTACTCGGAGACCAACCCAGAAACAGGAGAAGAGAGATTTCAGATTTGTAGTGTCCATAAATACAGCCGTGTCCAGCTCAAATGAAACACTCAATTGCAAACAATTAACACGAGACACAAAAGACAGTGAGGTTTTGAATTTGAATTATCTGTTGAACGTCTACGCATTGCCAAATGAGTTATACGTGTAAAATGGGGTTAAGTAACCATGTTTTTAAATTCGTAATCCTTCCTATGAGAGAATGACAGTGACACATGCATACATTGGATAATTGATGATTGATAGTGTAAATCAGTTCAACGATAAAGTAACTTCTGCCGTCAATGATCAACACTGTAAAGTAATCTCAACGGAATAACACTATTTATTGATCTCCCTCAACTAATCCTTGAAGTTATATCATTGCTGTTAACGAACGCAACGTTTAATACTGAATTGCTACTCTTTCAACCCTCGCACCAACCCCCAATTACCACAACCATTATGATCTTCGGAGATCTGAATAAATCTTGAGTCTATACAGAAAAAAAGATCCGAGATATATTAAGTGGTAATTTATAGATGGAAATGGAGAGTGGAAATGAAAAGTGAAGAGGAGTGAATCATTCACTGCTTACATATGTGCATCTGGATATGATCACAAGACCTTGTGCATATTAAGTCTCCAGAGCACCGGTATCGAGGAAACAACGGCGATCCAGATGGATTTGTATTTAGCTAGTTCATCATATGTGAAAGTTCATTGCATCCCCTTTTTCCATGAATGAATTTTACATACTCGCTTAGGGGATTGTAAGCATTTGAAGTTTACATACCTAGGTACTTGGGGTTGACGGTCGCCACTCTGAAACAGGTTCTATCAAAGGAGACGAGGACCAGATTGCCTAACTTCCATGGATCTTCGTCTAGGGCTTTTGCGGTTGTATGCTGTTGTAATATGATATCTCAATACACTTGTGCGAAAAGGAGAGTAAGTCATCTCTTGTGACCAGAACTCCAAAGGTTGTGGTTTAATGATACGTGAACGTTTCTTCCAGTAACAGAAATGGAAGTTTGAGTAAGCATTGTCTGTTTTATAGGAACGATTAATGAGAAAGAAGACAACCGATTCTGGCGTACATAGGTAGTCAGAATTTTACTTTTGGAGGGAGAATGAGTGAATATATGAAGATGTGTATGTGAATCATTGTAGTGTAATTCTGATCAGGGGGTTAGAGACCAATTATAATGAATAGTCATTGAATACATTTGACTGAAGTCTATAAGAAGGATTTCTGACCCCAGTGTTTGATCAACATTAATCTAAAATGGCTTGCATTCAGAAGACTCTGGTTTGGTTATACGGTCCCATAACAACATGGAAAAGGACACGGGAGATTCGCTTGAATGTGAGGGGCAAACTCGAATGCAGATGTACACTCCAAACTTCACTTCTTTATACGTCATCCCATATAATCACATAAGTATCACCTATGTCATCCCATCACTACTTCGAAATAGTTGATACCTACTGGTAGCAACCAAATGACAACGAATAGAGACGAGAATACGAAAACACCAAGAACTCATATCCCCCAAACACAAAACCCGAGCCAGAACCTCCAGGTTCTGTTTTTCTTCAAAGGCTTCGTCAGCAGGGGTACTA